TTGTTTATTTCGAAAACTTATTAGAGCCCAAGCACTTGAATGTAAAGTATTAAGATATGATTATTGAAACCGACATTATATTAAATCGGTGGGAATGAAAGAAAAATATTTTAAGTTGGAAATTATGTTCTTGCATTTTGGTATTTAACTTCATTTTTAGTTTTTTTTTCTCATATTCAGTTAATGTTAAGGTTAATAAACCTAAATGCACCAGATAAACGATTGGTTTATGACATCTGGCATTGGATTTATGTATTAGTTCATGCTCTTTTAAAGATATGTATTTAAGTCATTTATAGAAGTTTATACTTCGTTTATTTGTAAAGTATCTGACATCACTGATCAGTCTCAAGCAGTTATCTAAGATACGGTCTAGATTCAGTCTTAAGTGACCTATTTGATGTCGTTCACTCGTAGTGACTCAGTTTATTCACGTAACTATTTAAAGAGTATAAAATCAGATCATTCATGTGACAAATGAACTGTTCTAGACTTATTGATTATTTTTTACACCATATATTTGTCCTTCTTAATTTATTTAACGTTACGTTAGTCGTTTTTGTACAATTAATTATTAGTACTTGCCCATGTATTCTTTCACATACGTTTGCCTTTTATATCTTTGAGGTGAAACCAAACCATACTAGCGCCCTTGAACTGATCAATTAGATTCAAGATGATGAATGTCGTAAGTATATATAATTTATACAAAGCAGTTATGAATACACCGTTTAGATTTTATGCTTTAACTAATTCGGATGATGAAACAATTATGGTATAGCAGCTCACTTGCAATTGAGTTTGTTGACATTTAATTTGGCTAAGCCCTTTTGTTAGCTTATTTAGCGGACAGAGTCATCCGTGCTATAACAACTTATCTATATCTTTGTACCTTTATTATTGTTGTGCTTGTATGAAACATGTATGCTTGAACATTACTTACTTCCTACTCATATCTTCACTCTTCTAGCCTTAGTATTAGTCGCTTAATTGATTCGATGATTTACTCATTTCCCTATGTATATATATGTATATTTTAATCCTATTCATTTTGACTCGCTCATTCGACTCGCACGCTCACTCGCTTGCTCACTTGCTTTTCAACACTACTCTTTCATGCTTGCTTAGCGTACCTGCAAATTTGGAGAACTGTGTGGGGTGCAATAATAAACGTAATCAGCACTTCGTATTCGCCTTCTGATTAATACACCGTTGGGAGTTATTTAGTGTTGGTTATCAGGATGAATTGTATACGAAGTTTAAGAATTATATTGAATACCGACCATTCAGGATACGGAATAGAACATTACAGAAAGCTATTTTGATTGGGTTTCAAATAGAAAGACATAAACTCTTACTTAGGATAAGACAGTATATCCTACCTGAAACTATGTATAGGGGCGATGGGAGAGCCTATGGATGCTTTACAGGCACAGTTATTTCTATCAAATATCCGTTTATAAATGGTATTTTGTGAACCCTAGAAAGAGTGTATACAACAACAATTTTGAAGCTATGTGGTCAAGATTCAAGGACTACCTTCAACTATATAAAGGCTCCAGAGGAAGAATAATTGATGGTTACGTGGACGGATTTTTTTTGCCTCACTTATTATGATTTTCGTCCCAGTGAAATCTTTTCTGACCTCTATAAATTCATTAACCATTTTCAAACTATATATTCATTGTATTTTTTCATTTTCTCGCCAAACATATTTCCTTTACATAATCTGCATTGTGATTGCGTCATATCTGATTGGGCGTTTTCAGGGTCACTCTCAGAACTCCTGAAGGTCATCAGTGTAGTTTTATTTCTGTGTTTCTCTTTTCAGTAGCACCGTTGTCTACTTGGGGTTATCCGTAATATCATTTACGAAATTAATTATGGGATCTATATTTTAACCGGGTTGACCTGTGGCTACACAATATTTAGACGAACATTTCTAAATACTTCGTAATTTCACCACTATATACGTTAGGGATTATGTTAATCCATAGTTTGGAATTAGTTTTTTTTATGAAAAAGATCTTAATCAGGTATCATTAGATATGCCAATCAGCAAATCTTGATTGCTACTTTTCCATATATATTTATACATATATACTCAATTATACAGCTTCATTTACAATTTTCCCCTTTGACCAATTGGCTGTTTTGTAATATGTTATACATAATACAGTTATATAAAGTTTCTTTAAATGTTCAGTTTTTTACATGAATAAATTTTTAATTCATCCACTTAAATACCTTTCTGTGTCATCAAAATTTTTGATACTTACATTTACATAACTGGTTATTCTCAATTTAAATTACTGATTTTCTAAATTTTGCCGTAATATCAGTCAATTAAAGATATTTAAATTGACTCATGAATTCAACTATTAAAATTACTACAATCTCCACAGACCCCCATTCTGATAATAATCATCATGTACTGACTAGTGACTGGCTTCAAGATGTACTACTTGGGGTTCTAGTGAGAAGCTGTGACCAGTAGAGTTCAGCCGTATCTGTTGTGAGGCAATCACTCACTGAAGACAGTGGTGGACGGTGGCGCAACTTCGTGAATTGGTTGAAGTTAGGAATGAAAACCGTTGGATGCCGGCTCAGTGGTCCAGTAGTCAAGCCTTCACTCACGAGGCCGAAGGTTCTATGTTCGAATCCCACGAGTAGGTTCGTGGATGCGCACTGCTGAGGAGTCTCACACTCGGACGAAACGGCTGTCCAGTGCTTCCATGTTTTCCATGGTGGTCTGGCTTTAAATGACTCATGAATTCAACTATTATATATATGATTTATAAAAACCAGTTGGAAATACTTCGTACTTTTTTAAGCATAGCAACACCGCGTATGTTCCATGTTAGTACATTTCTTTGTTTTATGTATAATATTTAATCTGTTGTTATTGAAATGAAAACATTTGATAAGAAATATTTAGCGAATAGATAAATTTTATAATTTATTTGTTGATTTACTTATGCTTTTTTATCACACAAAAGGTCACTGTCATATTAATTTTTGTTTTTTATAATTCCATCCATTTTACTTTTGTCCTTTTTGAGAGTGTGACGTCAAAGTATTCTTCAACTGTTCACGATCTAGTAGTTTATACTAACAAATAGTATAAAAAATCAAACTAGGAATAATAAGTTTTAATTCCTTATAAACATTTATGAAAGTTAAATCTTAATCGATAGACAACCTTGCATGTTGTCTTTCTATGATAATCATAAACTTTTCCGAACATTTGAATTGATTCCAGTTACTTCCGGTGTGTAGTAGAGGTGTAATCTTGTGCATTTCAATAATTTATTTTTTAACTTAGCATATAACAGAGAAAGCTGTTTCCATCATGATACTATGTCCATTGTCTGTGAGATAGGAAAGAATGGCGCAGCTTATAGACTTATTGACACCTTAGTCCAATCACCTGTGCACATGTTCTCGAATACGTAAGGATAACCCTCTCTGAGTACGGCTTATGTTACCAGCTCCTCTGGAGCAGTTTAACTGATAAACGTATATTGACAAACCAATTATTGCTACCTTATACTTGATTATCTGAATCATCATTGAGCCAGTTGGGTAATTAATATGCAATTTATCGAAACTGAAATTCGTTTTAGTGAATGTATAAGAATATTCCTCACTACATCACCTTCGAAATCTAGTCTTAGAGTGTTTTCTTCTCAATCATAGCAGTCTGTGGCTTGTTTTCCAGTTCAATCATTTATTTATTTGTTCAATTTATAAATTATTTGTTTTGCAGTAACATTACCTTTTATTCAAGTAACTTTTCTCCCACACTATTTTCAAGGTATATTCGTTAGTACATATTACAACCTTCATCTACTTTTCCTTTCATAGAGATCTATACTAGCTCTTCTATAACAAATTCTTAATTATACATTAATCTTCTTTTATTTCAAATCACCTTATCACCAAAATAAACACGACACACTATATCCCAATTTATACTTGTTATTTTATATTAGATTTTTTTATTGGCACTCATCATCTTTAGTCATTAACTATTGTTTTACCCTTTGTTGCATGATCTTTTTAATTTAACCAGTGATCCATTTCGTTAGTATTAATATTCATTAAATGTGTCGTTCACTGTTTTCATCTTATATTACTGATTTTAACCATATCATTTATGTAATGTAACACGATATTCATGTATTTATAACTATCAAGTCTAAAAGAGATATCAAATATGATTGTTCGTTGATAAATTGTGTGTTTATAATTTTCTGTGAGAATTTTTTCAAGTAACCACAATATTCAGTTTGTAAATGGTTACACTTTCAATGTTGATAGAGGAAGCATATAGGCAGATATCTTAAATATTCATAGGGATTTGTATTGTTCATTTCTTAACTTTCAGCAGTCTTGGTGAGACTATAATTTATGGACAACCTTTGAGCGACGCCAGACTGACCTTGAAAGTGTTCACCTAATAACCAGGACTAAATGGGGGCTATAAACCTGCGTGAGGAATTGGAATTATGATTTACAGTTGATGATTGAGGTTAGAAATTAGATTTAGGGTTTTCATCACGAACTGACATAAGCTATAATGCCAAAACTTTATTTATCCGAATGAATGAGTGGATTTTGCGTCAAAATCCGAGACCTGTTATCTTATACGTGATTGGTTCGTTCATAAATTATAGTCTCGCCACAATCTCTATTGGTATTTATACATGTTTAGCGGATCTCCTTGATTTAGCTTTCTTTTTGTTACAAATTCTTGTGTTTTGGCTAGTAGCTTAAAGTGGAACCGTGGATGAGCGCTTCATTTTATTTGGAACTAGTTAACTGAGTACATCATTATCTCATTCGTAGTGTCAGCACTGCGATTCAAACCTACTACCTTCCTCTTTTCAATGTTCTGTTGGCATTACTATTTGTACAATCATACTTTATGTACTTTAATTACTTATTAAAACTCAACAATAGAGTAAATCAAATACCTATATATCTGTTCTACTTAGGTTACCAAGGCAATGCAAGGTTCTGGGTATAGATGTTCCTGACTACTTCAAACAATGGATAAATTTAAAACAGGTTAGTTTATTCCAGTAACAATACACGTTTATTCTTTATTCTATTAAACCTTTAAACCGATAATCAGTAATGATTGTGATCTCTATATTAATACTGTATCCTTGATTACAATTCAGTATGTAATGTTACGTCAACTTCCTATTTTGTATACGTTATGGAAATTTAAAATGTATTAAGATGTTTTGCAACGGTGATTATTAGCCAGTGACCTCCATCCACGAATGCTTTTGACCAGTTTTGCCGTCATAACATACTTTTTGATTCCTCAATATGTTTTAGTCTCCAATCGCTTTTAAAAAGAAGAAAATAAATCAATTGTTGTGGTAGTTTTAGTTAAATTTTACAGCAGTCGACTTGACAATAGGTTGTTAACGTAAAAACTCACATGTACTTAAGATTATCATAAAAGAAGATGCATATTTATTACTTTTTCTGTTCTGGTTAACGAAACACAAATCTCTACTTATTTGGTATTATTTCCAGAAGTTCTCATTACTCTAAAGTCCCTTGCAACAATATCGAGCATTACTATCAACTTGTAATGTTTTTCTTTTTGCATTTTACAGAATAAAACTAATTTCAAAATCACCTGATTTTATCTGTATAAGATGTGATAAAATTTTGTAGACTTAGCAAAGCGAGTATTATTTTCTGGAAAAAACATGTGGATCAAACTTGTCAATATGATCACTTCGTATTCTTTACATACGAAACAGTATCATGTAAATATAAAAATTAACTGATCACTTTGCATATTATAGAGCGTTTTGTCTACATGTATATTTTTTGAGCACATTTTCAACTAACTTATCAAACTGGAGTCTTGGAGTAGTTATGACTGAGACAAGTTAAACTCAATCATTAAGATTTTTTACGTTTCTAGGAGATAAGTTAATACTATTAGTACTAAAGCAGGGAATAAGATAGTAGTTTAGTCAAGTAGATAATAGGGAGAATTACATTTTGCATAATATAATGAACAGTAACGTAAGGTCCAATAAAACTAAAGTAATAGAAGATAGTCATGGTTATATAAGAATACAACCTTTTCATTGATAAGTAAGTAGAGACAAACCGGACCAAGTGGATTGGCGGTTGTTTAAATTAATATTTTTGGCCGCTTTAGTTATGGATCATAACTAGCTCTTAATTATTAAATGTGTTCTTGTCCTATTCGACTTTGAAGATAGATAATCAAAATACATCTCATTAACCAATAAAAGTACACTGTAATCGTCCTTGATTCATACATATTCTGTGATGACTAGAAACGTAACTAGGCGGCAGAAATCGCAATGATATAGTTAGCTTAAAATTTCATTAGCTAGCCACAATTTTAGTGTTTTAACTTCGTTTTAAATACTCCAGTAAGCGCGATGGTGTCTGCTGTTTTCCAACGAATTGTCGACTTTACATTTTCGTATAATCCCAATCCTCAATGAGGTTGAAGGACCGAGCTTCAGTTGAGCTTTCACCTTCAATGTACGTATGTTCTTCGAATTGACTCTAGGGAGATTGAAGTTCCCTATAATCAGATAGAGTGTATTCGAGACGCGTAGAGAGCGATTGTTCTTCCATCATACTACTGTCATACTCTATGTCCAGTGGGCTTCTCATGATGACCCCCGACTAGGCACTTCGAAGTAGTAGAAAATCTTATAGAGCACCCATACAGATTCATCAACTTGTTAACTCATGGTTGTGACTTGGTATATCTCGAAGCAAGATCGTATGTACATGGCTACTTCACCCCTTAATTCCTGATTATCTGTCGTTGTTTCGCAACGACATCCCAGGTATCGCTAGCTCCTCGTCCGTAAACTGCGATGTCCACGTTTCAGATATTCCTATCAGGTGAGCCTTATAAGCGTTGCTAAGTTCACGTAACTCATTCATTTTGTTTGGTAGACTCGCGGCGTTCATGTATAAGCAGTTTATGCTTTCAATTTGAAACGCATGAGCTTCCTGTTTGTCTGTATGAGTCTTACGTGAATGGACAAGTAGCCTGTCTATATAATGTTTTCCGAGTTGGTAGGCCCTGTCCTTTAGATGAAGACTTTGTTTCTTCAGCTGATGAGCTAGTCCTTTGTTGCAGCGCGCTCCTGATTGTCGGATTTTTTTGCTGTTCATACACTTGGTCTATATTTAACCTCATCGTATATTGCATCACAAATCCTAAATATGAATGATAACACTGCATGCTCGCTACTAGCTAACAATGAGAGAATATTCAGATGGTGAATACTGTCGGTCGCATGAGTAATTTCAAAGTCTTACATGGAAGATTCTTGCTTTGGATCGAAAAATGTGTTCGCTTACATTCTGCACTAAGGCTTGCTCCACCGCAGTCGTCAGGACCCTACAGTAAAAAATTTCCGAGCCGTACAGTGGACATTTCTTCCCAACTAATAATGAGTGCACCAAAGTCTCCTAATATCAGGCGTTCGCTAATTTTACTCCGTAGCCGAATCTGGCCTAAAAAGAAATCATTAGCTAAGCAGATTGTGCTACAACAAACGACAAGGGGTATAGACGTGCAACTTGCAAACGTTCACAGCTGATGACTATATGAGTCCTATCATCATGAGAAACGGATGTTTGCATCATTATATATATATATATATATATATATATATATATATTAAGATCCTACCTACTTTCTTGCATCTATTCTTATCACTTCTTGAGTAACTGCATCCCGATAATTCTGAAGTAATGTCAAAGTCTGTTGAGGGTGCTAGATCCCCAGAAATCACTGGGTAAACGTCTTATTTTTGTGATTTTATTTTGAAAATTTGAATTTCTCGTTTTCGCGTCAAAAGCGCCTATTTTTACCTTCCCACTTAGAAGGACATTAAAAGTCATTGGTTTGTACCCTCTTCCAATATGCCATTTTTGACATCTCTGAAGGACATTTTTATGCTGTATGTGTACGCTTAAGTTGTGTGCTTGTTGTTGTTCGTGTTTCCGGCTGCTTGTGGAATATACTTCCTTCCATCCGAACTTGGACTTATTTCCCTAGTCAGCAGAGCTGTGTCGCATTGGAATAGTTTAGCTGTTTGGTCATTATGTCAACGATCCTTCGTTCCACTCACCGATTTAGGTGACCTCGTAATCTCTTCAAACGTAGCAAAGCCATGGAATAATGAAGTTCCAATCACATCCACAATGAGTGATTTTAATTCGTCTACTGACACTCTTAATTCATAGGATTTATCTACTAGACTGGAAGCATTTGTATGTGACTCTCCTAAAAAACCTTATCCACACAGGCCTTGATAGCGTTCGCTTCCATGACCTGAACACTCAAAAACCCATTAAGCGGACATTTTCTACACCACTTTGTCTACCCGTTTCTAGCTCACCTATTGCCGTCTCCCTTTTTACTTGATCTTTTGGAAAAACGTGAGGTCGCGCTAGAATCTCATTATTATTTTGATTTCGGGCACTAATTAACAAGAGATTTCGTTGTTTCATCTACCCTGTGATTACCTGAAGGTGTCTATATGGTTGGACTTCAAGATTTGAGTTGGTTCTCCTACCTATTCTTGTCGCGCTTTTTATCCTAACTCCTATACAGTTATTTGTAAAGATGCTATGATAAATTGCTCTAATTTTTTTCAAAATCATTCCTTTATCTACTTATTGAACCAAGGTCTTTGGATTCTGTCAAATTACTTTCAATAACATTCGATGAGATTGAGCTTATTCTAGCTGCACTAGGTCTAAGTTCAGTTATACTTTGGGAATTCGGTGGTGCATTTTATGACTCAGAATGAGGGTCCTCAAAAAACCTACGTACTGAATGGGAGCTGCTTGTAACCGTCTTTCTTTTTCTTTTTTGTTTCTGCACCGTCGTCCATTTCTCACCACTCAGAACTGCCGAATCGAGACTGCTCGTGACTGCGACGGTTTTATCCAAGTCCTCATGTACTGCCTAAGAATTGTAACCACCAATACTCAGTAGTATTTTACTCTTTGTTTGCTTCAAAGGAAGTGCTTGTTTTCCATATTTCATAATCAGGTGTTCGGTTCGTCTCGTAACAGCGCGCACCACACTGACACGTTTTTCGTCGTCAGTGCTCATGCTACCAGTGAATCTATTATTAAATTTCTTGTTGACCAACTTCGGAAGGGCCATCGTTTCCTGGTTCCGTAATGTCTTGCCTGAACGGCGAAATACACGAAGCCAATAGGATTCAGGCTTCGAACAATTTTTGTGTGCGGTTGGATTTAAACGGATACACATCTTGTGGAACCCCAATTCGCACTCATCACATTTTATTTCTTCATTCACAGGAAAGAAACAATTTGGCTGTCCACATTTTCAAGTACAGCCTACCGCTGTAGGCAGATTTAAGGGAAAAAATTGACGAAGACACACAAAATAATCATTAATGTATGGGTCAGCTAAAAAAGAGTTCCACAGAATGGATACGAATGAAATTCCAAACCTTAACCGAAAAAATTTAAGTTAGTGTAGACCAAATATGTTGTCGATACAATAAATACATAGGAGAAAAATTAACTCACAGCATGTACGAAATTACAGCACCTTTTAAAAACGCGTATGCTAAATCCACACTGTATATTTCAGTTTTAACACAACGATCATCTACTTAAGTACCAATAATCCATTATACCGCTGCTAAAAGAAAAAGTTCGTCATAAAATGCCGAAGAAAATGGTGCAAACGATTTTAACGGAATAAATAACGCAACATTTGTAACAGTCTGATGTTGCCCGTAAATTGACATGTTTCATGTAACTTATGTTAATTGAGAATAAATTGTTAATATTAACACTGATATTAATAAAAGGATCGCAACGCGAACTTGAAGTACGCAACTCAAGATGATTTGGTATGAGACCATTACTGGCCTCGTGACTCGTTAACAATGCCGATATACCTTTCAAATACGAGAACCTTTTAGTATATAGTTCCCAGTTTATTGTACTACGTTTTTATCACAATACGTAAAGCCAGTTCAAAGGTATTACCAATTATGGTCATATAATTGAGTTAGCCGCTGTTCAGCGAAGTAAGCGCTTTATGTTTAGCAAGACACTAAATTTTTCTGTCTTCAAACAACTGCTACAATATCTGGTAATTGTGGATGACTTGAACACGACTTACCTGTAAAAATGCCGTTTTTAAGGTTAAGAATGTTTGTTAGTCTATGTCATAAAACTTAGGGTGAAATTTTATGTTGATATCTAACATTTGTCAGTGACTTTCGGGACTGACAATAAAAAGTAGTCGAACTAAGGTATCACAGGAAAACCGAGTTCCTACCTATCTATTAATGAATTTCGTCAGATAGGTATTCACTCTTTCCAAACCTTTGGTGGCCAAGAGACCTCCAAGAGTTTGGAATAATCTGCTTTTCACTCAAAATGCTGCATATTATTTAGAAACTCTTGTGATCGTCTAGGAATATGGACCGTTGTCAAGTAAATTTCCATGCGACTCATGCTGCCACCTCCTGTAATTTATGAGCAACCGACTTACTAATAATTTTAAATGTGTCTGTAAAGTGACTTTTTATGTCCCATTATTTGTATCAAAGCACAACACTGCAGGATGCTTCCC